TAGTGCTAAGCAAATCTGAAACGGTTCTCTTTCAGTTTCACATGGTCAAGCAACCGAAAGAAACCGAACAATGCCTGACGGAATATGACGCGATGCTGGAAAAGATCGCATCCAGTTCACGAGCTATTGTGCCATTTTTGCAATAAAGTTTTAAGGTTTATATTAGATAACTCGTTATATAGGACATTCAAGACGTTCAAAAGCGGATTAAACGTTAGAGCAGCTCTTCAATTTCCTGGGTTTTAATGGCAAGTTTTGGGCGCGGATGATTTTGACTAAGGGCTCAGCTTGGCTGCTTCTTCTGTGAATTTCAAAAAATACTCTCGAAAAAATTGAAGTTTTTGACACGACTAACGGTTTTCCAAAATCCACTTCGAGCCCTAGATTTCCCTGCAGAGCTCCCCCGACCGCCTATCTTACTACTCGGCTTTCAAAGCAGGGAACTCCTTGGTTGTGACGGGATGTCCGGGGTGGTCACTCTATATTTCTCGTTCCCTCCGTCTTTCTGTCACTCTCTCTCTCTCTTTCTCTCTCTCTCTCTTTCTCGCAAGTCCCATGTGTCAGCCCGGGGCCCTTTACACATCTCGGCTGCACCGGCGGCTCGAGGTTCTGGGCCCACCGAACAGCATGGCCGCACCACCACACGGCGGCACCCGCACCATTAATTTTCGGCTGGCTGGCGCTTCATTTCGAAATCGAGTATTGGAATGTACTGTGTACACTAGGCTAAGCCGAAGCCTACCCCTGGGGATAGGGCCAAGCTTAATCCTAAGCCTAGCTTAAGCCCAAACCTAAGCCTAAGCCTGAGCCGAGACCTAATCCTAAGCCTAATCCTAAGCTCAAGCCCAAGCCTAAGTTCAAGCCTAAGCCTCAGTAGCCCAATCCCAAGCCTAAGCCCACGCATACGTACTTCAAGCGCTCGTTTTTAAATGGAAAGTGACAACGAATTGAGCTCAACCTTGGGGTAAAAAGTCGTCCATATCCTTCCCATCCCAGCTGACGAAGACGTTCGACCCAGACCGTTGATGAGATGTTTGGCATAGACCCCCTCTGGAAGCCGGTCATTTGGAGTGCCGCGTACAAATCGGCAAACATCCCACCTCTGCGCACGCCCCCTCCTCAACCCAGCGCTGCCACGCGATCCGCGCCCCCGACGCGAAGATCCGCCTGGGACCCGGATTTCGATCGATTTATCGTGGATTTGGATATTTTCTATTGAGTTACATAATTTTAGTAGCACTTTAAATTTTAAAATCTTGATGGCAATGAAAAACGACTTGCCTTTTTTAGAGCTATTTTTGCTTTTTCTGTCTTACCTTTTCTCATTTTTCATAAAAAAATAAATTTAAGGAGCATCATTTTTTTTCCTCTCGCGCTATTAATTTATACATCTTCTTCTTTTTCTCTCTCAGGCGCTCTATCCCTCACTCACTCTCGCTATATGTCTCTCGCTATGCGTCTCTCGTTCTCTCTCGCTCTCCCTCCCTCTCTCGCTCTCTCGCACTCTCTCGCTCTCTCTCGTTCTATGTCTCAAGCTCTCTTTCGCTCTCCTTTTCTCTTTCTCTCTCTTTCTTTCTCTCTCTCTCTCTCTCTCTCTCTCTCTCTCTCTCTCGCTCTCTCTCTCTCCCTCTTCCAACCTCAAAGATCCGTTATATTCAGATGGCCTTACCGGGTAAGCTTCGTTTCGACAGCGAAGACCACCCCCCGGCTTCATACTATGAAGAGCTTCAGGAAACGAAGCCACGACTCCCCTTTCAAACCCCAAATCCGGATGGTATTTCATTGATCTCATCTCTGACTAAACCTCCACCCTTCAGAATGGGTAAAAGCCCCAGAATTCGTACCACGTTCCAAGAAGCTGCACGACGCCTTCGAGTCGCCACCTCCCTTCGACCCGAGCTTTATGGATATGGTAAGTTTTGGCGGTGTAATTTGGTGCTTATTGTAGTATTTCATTAATTTAATAATGGCATTATTTATCGTGTTATATCATCAAAAGTTTTTTAATTTTCCAGGACCGTTTCGGCTTCGAGAACCCGATGCCCTTGATGGAACAACCGTACATCCCGGGTCACCAATTTCCTGGTAGGCAATTTTACGAATGGTACTACTCACGATAACGTACATTGTAAAATAAAGATTTTTGGATTATTTTAAATGACCAAAATTTTCAAATTCTCGAAGCTCCAGCCAAAAAACATCCTTGCGAAATCTCGCAAATGGCCCCCGAGGGCCCAGGGGATGAGTCAACCAGGCCCCCGGTGGCCCATCTTTCGGTCTCTCTCTCTCTCTCTCGCTCTCTCTCTCTCGCTCTCTCTCTCTCTCTCTCTCGCTCTCTCTCTCTCTCTCTCTCTCTCTTTTTCACCGAAAACCTTCCCTTCCCTAGTTAGGGATTAGTAGTTTTCGGGGGTCGGTCCCCTGCTGCCCTAAAGCACCCCGTCAGAATTTGTTTGGAGCCGCTCCCACCATCGCGGTTCCGCTATTTTTGAAAGGCAACCAAAACACTCCTGATTCCGATTTAAAGGACTTGTAAAAATTGATTGTCGCGCTCTCTCTCTCGCCGCCCCTCTCTTCTTTTCTGTTTCTCTATATCTCTCTTTCACTCTCTCTGTTTCTCTCTCGCACTCTCTCTCGGCGCCTCTCTTCCTTTCTGTTTCCCTCTATCTCTCGCTCTTTCTCTCTCTCTAGCTCTCTCTCTTTCTTTCAATCTCTGGCACACTCGCATGATCAACTATAATAATTTTGTTGTGGTCTCCGTCTGTCTGTGTGAAGCCGAATTCAACTCGAAGGGGAAAGGAGCTAGAGCTTAGCTCTCTTCGGATTCGGATAGAGCGTGGTCAGAAACCCCCAAACTGATAAAAAAATTATTAAAAAGTTTTAGTTTAAATTATTAAAATTAACTTTGAAAGTTTTTCCTTAGTAAAAGGAGTGGGGGCCCCTTTCCCGGGAGGCCACGCCCCCTTTCTCTTCGCCCATCTTCCCCAGGCCCCTTCCCGCGCCCAAATAGCTTTTTAAGTTACTTTAATACTTTTAATACTTTTTAATACTTTTTAATACTTTTTAATTATGCTAATTAATTATTTAAATCATCTGAAGCCATCGGGAAGGTATTTAGGTAGTTTTTAAAGGGGATTTCAGCCATGGGGGGTATCTGAAGCCATCAGGAAGGTATTTAGGTAGTTTTTGAAGGGATTTCAGCCATGGGGGGTATCTGAAGCCATCGGGAAGGTATTTAGGTAGTTTTTGAAGGGGATTTCAGCCATGGGGGTATCCGAAGCCATCAGGAAGGTATTTAGGTAGTTTTTGAAGGGGATTTCAGCCATGGGGGGTATCTGAAGCCATCGGGAAGGTATTTAGGTAGTTTTTGAAGGGGATTTCAGCCATGGGGGTATCTGAAGCCATCAGGAAGGTATTTAGGTAGTTTTTGAAGGGATTTCAGCCATGGGGGTATCTGAAGCCATCGGGAAGGTATTTAGGTAGTTTTTGAAGGGGATTTCAGCCATGGGGGGGTATCTGGAAGCCATCGGGAAGGTATTTAGGTAGTTTTGAAGGGGATTTCAGCCATGGGGGTATCCGAAGCCATCAGGAAGGTATTTAGGTAGTTTTTGAAGGGATTTCAGCCATGGGGGTATCTGAAGCCATCGGGAAGGTATTTAGGTAGTTTTTGAAGGGGATTTCAGCCATGGGGGGTATCTGAAGCCATCGGGAAGGTATTTAGGTAGTTTTTGAAGGGATTTCAGCCATGGGGGTATCTGAAGCCATCAGGAAGGTATTTAGGTAGTTTTTGAAGGGGATTTCAGCCATGGGGGGGTATCTGAAGCCATCGGGAAGGTATTTAGGTAGTTTTTGAAGGGGATTTCAGCCATGGGGGGTATCTGAAGCCATCAGGAAGGTATTTAGGTAGTTTTTGAAGGGATTTCAGCCATGGGGGTATCTGAAGCCATCGGGAAGGTATTTACGTAGTTTTTGAAGGGGATTTCAGCCATGGGGGGTATCTGAAGCCATCAGGAAGGTATTTAGGTAGTTTTTGAAGGGGATTTCAGCCATGGGGGTATCTGAAGCCATCAGGAAGGTATTTACGTAGTTTTTGAAGGGATTTCAGCCATGGGGGTATCTGAAGCCATCGGGAAGGTATTTAGGTAGTTTTTGAAGGGGATTTCAGCCATGGGGGGTATCTGAAGCCATCAGGAAGGTATTTAGGTAGTTTTTGAAGGGGATTTCAGCCATGGGGGGTATCTGAAGCCATCGGGAAGGTATTTAGGTAGTTTTTGAAGGGGATTTCAGCCATGGGGGCTATCTGAAGCCATCGGGAAGGTATTTAGGTAGTTTTTGAAGGGGATTTCAGCCATGGGGGGTATCTGAAGCCATCAGGAAGGTATTTAGGTAGTTTTTGAAGGGATTTCAGCCATGGGGGGTATCTGAAGCCATCAGGAAGGTATTTACGTAGTTTTGAAGGGGATTTCAGCCATGGGGGGTATCTGAAGCCATCAGGAAGGTATTTACGTAGTTTTTGAAGGGGATTTCAGCCATGGGGGGTATCTGAAGCCATCGGGAAGGTATTTAGGTAGTTTTTGAAGGGGATTTCAGCCATGGGGGGTATTTGAAGCCATCAGGAAGGTATTTAGGTAGTTTTTGAAGGGGATTTCAGCCATGGGGGGTATCTGAAGCCATCGGGAAGGTATTTAGGTAGTTTTTGAAGGGGATTTCAGCCATGGGGGGTATCTGAAGCCATCGGGAAGGTATTTACGTAGTTTTTCAAGGTGATTTCGTCTAAGGGAGGTATCTGTAGCCATTAGCGGGGGTATTTTTGGAAAGGTAGGGATGGATGTGATGGTGTATGGCATGAAGGGAAGCCCGAAGGCCAGATGGTTACAGTCGCGAAGCGACTGGAACCATCTGGTTACTGTACGCTTGTTTCAGATCCAACCCAACATCCGGTGCTTCGAACTCGAGTCTCAGTTGGCGGCCTGCCAATTCCGCCACTTCCTCCGCCGTTTCCGATGGTAAGCAAGAGAGAGAGAGAGAGAGAGAGAGAGAGAGAGAGACCGGCAGAGAGAGAGGGAGTGCGAGATTGAGAAAACAGAGGATTGATTACGCTATAAAATGAAAGCGTATACCAGATTGGAAACTAGTCGATACTGAGCAGAAATAGTAAAAAAATTCAGTTTCATCTCGTACGATTATGAAACATACATGAAACCTCTGTAAAAAATACAGTTACAAAAATGTATGTATCCTTTTTCAGCAAGTACCCCCATTCGCGCAATACCCTCCCGTGCCCCCTCCATTCGCCTTCGTGCCAAACGGCTACTCGGCTAACGTCCACAACATCAATCGTGAGTCCCATTTTTGCTGCTATTTTGGCTTCTAAAAACGATGTTTATGTGTGTGTCTAGTGGAAAATAGAAGATTGCTCAGAAATGTATATGGGGTGTGCCACGGAATCGTTAGTCTCTCCAGAGCCAGATCCATTCATCTAGCTTCCGGCTTCCGGTTACAAGTGGGGCCCTTGCCTGGCTTACCTCCCGGGGCTAGACGCCAACAAAAGCATAATAACTCTACAATAATTCTAGATATTTATAAAACTCGTATTATTCCATTAATTTTGATCGCGCTTCAAATTTGCTTGGTAGACTGGAAAATGAATTCTGAATCCTTTTTTCTGTGGCATACTGTAACGTACCATAGTGTGGCTTACCGTAGCTTAGCGTAGCTTATCGTAAGTTGGGGTAACTTGGCGTGGCTTGGGCTAGATTGGCGTAGCTTGGTGCAGCGTGGCGCGCTTTGCGTAGGCTAGCGTAGTTTGTTTGGCGTAGCTGAGCATGGCTTAGCTTGGCCTTGTTTAGCGTAGCTTGGCGTAGCATAGCGTAGCTTAGCGTAGCTTAGCGTAGCTTAGCGTAGCTTAGCGTAGCTTAGCGTAGCTTAGCATAGCTTAGCGTCGATTAGCTTAGCTTGACGTAGCCATCGTAGCCTGTCGTAGCTTGGCGTGGCTTAGCGTAGCTTGGCGTAGCTTTCGTCGCCTGGCGTGGCTTGGCGTGGCTTGGCGTAGCTTGGCGTTTTTTTTAAATCCAGACACATAGACTGTAATGCATTACAACATCAAAATCTTAAGGACTAACACATGGGTCATTTATTTTTGCGTTTTTCGGCTAAATCGCTAGTTTTTTGGGGGGTTTTCGTCAACGGTAAAATTTTCGTAGCGCCCCTTAACGCAGCGTACGGTCGCAACCCCTTTAAAATCCAATTAAGCCCGTCTGCGTCTTAATTTCCTTGGCCAAGTATGGTAAACGAGTATCCATGCCACACCCCCCGAGACAGCCCTCAAAATGAGCCATTTGTGGAGATGGCCGGATGTTATGGAGAGTCAGCGAGAGGAGAGGAGAGAGAGAGAGAGAGAGAGAGAGAGAAGAGAGAGAGAATGAGATAGGATCCATTCTCCGTGTCCATTGCTGTTGGGCTGTAACAGCTGGTGTCCCTTTCTCTTGAGGATGGGCCTCCTCCTTTAGGGGGGATGACCCCTTTAGACCACCCGGATTGGCCTCTTCTCTCTCTCTCTCTCTCTCTCTCTCTCTCTCTCTCTCTCTCTCTCTCTCTCTCTCTCTCTCGCTCTCTCGAACCCCGAGGGGCCCAATTTCCAATGGAATACTACTTTTTGGGGGAAACCATTCCCCCTCCCGTTCCTCTCACTCCATTTTCTTAGCCTCGACTTTGGAATTGGGAATTGGACGTTTCTGCAAATCCTGTTTTTTCCTAAATGCAGCACCTTTAGATACCGTATCTTAATTTTTAGAAAATTAATTAAACTTTTCAGCCGGTCTTGGCCCCCCGATTCCGGCCATCGTGCTGAAGAAAAAGCGTAGACGTCGTAACAAGGATCGACCGCAGAGCATGCTGCTGGAGGGGGTAGGTCGTATTTTTGTCTATTTTCTTAAGGGCATAAGAGTCTCATTCGAAATTGACAAAAAGCCATCCAGTTACGCTAGGAAAACGGGAAAAACGGAAGCTAAGCGAGTGAGCGGCGATTTTTGAGACTTGGGTTTTTTCGCCGCGTTCGTCCATCTAAAATTTTTGCTCTAGCGGGGTGGCAGCGACATTTGCTTTTTTAACGTATTAGCCTCTATTCCCAATGCGCATTGCCTAGATTGCTTTTGATTCAGGAAAGCGATTCCTGCTCCCCGCCAGCCCCATCCGACCCCAAGGAATTCAATCGGGACTCGACGGGGGATCGGACAACCATTAATGAGGAGGACGAGGATGTGGTGGGCGCTGAACTAACAACCGAATTTTTATGGCTACAACAGCCTCTTGGCATTTGGCTTAATGCCTGGTTATCTTCAGGAAAATGCCAGCCCGTCCAAGGAAGGCGCGCCACTCGGCGGCTCCTGCCCGGATCTCTCCCAACAACAATTGGAGATGTGGGACGACTTTTTGGTGGGTATCTTAAGGTATAAGCAGCTAAGGAGAATTCTTAAAATTTCAATTTTCTGCTGAAATTCTTGATATCGTAATTATAGTACGAATCCGTGGTGAATGGCCGAGGGAGAGCCAGCGCCGAGCGGAACATGATCTCGCATATGCAGCGCTCGGGTGAGTTTTAGTTAGGCCTGGAAATTCTCTCTTCTCTCTCTTTTTCTCTGTCTCTCGCTCTTTCTCGCTATCTCTCTGTCTCTCTCACTCTCCCTTTCTCTCTCCCACTCTCGCTCTCTCTCAGCCTTTCGCTCACTCACCCTCTTGCTCATTATTTTTCTTTTCTTTCCCTCCCCTCGCTATTTCTCGCTTTTTTTGACCCGAACCTTCAAATGGCGGGGGTCTGGGTGTACGAAGCGCTACGCACCGCGTCAGCAACCCGTTCACCCAGTCTTACTAGCACTGTCCCTTAAAGGGACTGGCAAGTCGAGAACACCGTCTGTATAGGTTGTCACAATCCAGCTTACGAAACGCTACCGAAGGCCCTGCAGAATGTGATGGAAGAGGAGTACTACGGCACCGCCAACTCCAATATACGCAAACTGGAGAAGGAGATTAATGGTGTGTTTTCGAGTCAAGAATCCTGACTACTAACCTTTTAGGGAACAGCATGACGGCGTCGATGATTTTGCAGAGTTTAAAGGTGCGTTGAAGACAGGAAATTCGGTGATTTTATCGTTTTTTAGGACAAATTCGCGCGTAGCATCGACGCACCGGGGAGTACCCAGAAGAGTTTGGCCAGCGAGCTGGAGGAGCTGACGTTTAGGCCCGAGATCTCGGTGGGATACTGTAGTTTATGAGGATTTTTGTGCTTAAAAACGAGCGACTTTGGGTAACTGTCCCTTTAATGATAATTTATGCACCATAAATCATAATTATAACATTTTAGAAGTATGGGTACCCCCAATTTGACTCGGATCGACATCACGTGACCTCATTTCATCCGGACGGCTTCAGCTCGACGATGGAATCGGTAGGAGATTTTTTGTTATCTCTCTCTCTCTTTCTCTCTCGCTCTCTGTATCTTACTCTCTCTCTCTCCTCTCTCTCTCTCTCTCTTTCTCTGTTTCGTTCTGTCTGTCTGTCTCTCTATCTGTCTATCGCTTACTCTCGTTTTCTCTCTCTCGCTCTCTCTCTCGTCCTGTCTCTCTCTATATCTGTCTGTCGCTCACTCTCACTCCCTCTCACTCGCTCTCTCTTTCTCTATCTCTCTCGCTCTCTCGCTCTCTCTCGCTTTCTCTATAGATCCCTCTCGCTCTCGCTCACACTAGCCCTCTGTCTCTCTCGCTCGCTCTCTCTCTTTCTCTATATAGCTCTCTCTATCTCTCTATCGCTCTCTCACTCTCTCTCTCTCTCTCTCTCTTCGGTCCATCCCTACACACCCTAACATTCAGACAAAAATCCGTATCCCGCTTGTCGAAGATTCACTAGAAGGCATGCGGATCCGGGTGAACGCCTTCGAGGATGATGACGTAAGTTCCAAAATCACTTCCGCCATCCCACAAATTCGTTGCAGGACCCGACGCTGTCCGAGTCGGAGTGCCCCGAGCCGTCTCGATTCCAGAAGCTGCAATGGGTCATCCAGCAGAAGAAGCACCAACAGATGGGGAATACCGGACCCCCGGAGCGAGTTTGTTGCTCTGTCATGTGAACGCGCGGGTTTAAAGGAGCTTGGAAGGCAAAAAATTGGTTGTCCCTAAAGCGTCCAGATTTTTTTCACACGCCCAAACCCGTCCTTAGATGTACTTCGGAGCGCCCTTCTAGAATTTGCCTTCCCGATCCATTTAAAATACCGTTGCTATGAATTTCCGTTATGATCGGGACATGAAAAAATTCCGACAGGCAAAATCCCGACCGCCAAAATACCGACAGCCAAAATACCGACACCTCCATTCAAAGAGCAAGTTTAGTGTCGATTATGGTTGTCGAGATATTGATGTCGGGATTTTGGTTATCGGGATTTAGGGTGTCGGGATTTTTCCGTCGGCATTTTGGCTGTCGGCATTTGGTCTAGTAATTCTGGCGTTTTTACCGTCAATATTAGTGGGCCAGCCCTTAAGCAATTTCCAGCCTTGTTCCGCCCGTTATTTGGTGTATATCGTTGCCCCCCTACGAGTTCCCACCGAGTTATTTTATTTATAAGAAAACTCTCTAGTCGCCCTTGCCAACCCCCAAATCTGGTGCTATATTTATTGCGTTTTTGGCTTATTCTTTGATTTTTGCATTTTCACGTCTATTTTTTGCATAAATTTATTCCACCTGCACATTACCGTATACCCTGCACATATATTGGGATTTTAGGACTTGGAAAAGAATCACAGATGTGCCCGGTCCTTGCGCGCCAGGTAGATTTTGTGCCAAAATTCGGGCCGTCCCTCGATGAAGTTGTCCTGGAACGATTTGCATGTAATAAAGTTAAGGAAAATTATATCAGCCAAAGTAAATAAAAACTTCGGGGTGATTTGCATATCCATTATTAATTTTAAATAGAACCAAAAATCTACTAAATCGATTTTTTTTACTAATCAAATTCTTAAAACACAACGACTTTAAGCATGTTATTTTTTTGGTTTCTAGCCTAAAAATTAATATTTTACGCAGAAAAACACCAAAATACCGACAGCGAAAATGCCGAAATTCAAAATAACCTCTCAATGGAAGTGGCATTTCACTATTGTGCACGTTATCGGGATTGCGACCTGTCGGCATTTTGGCTGTCGATATTTTGGCTGTTGGTATTACGATTCTTTTCCTTTCAGTATTTTGGCCTGCCGGTTTTCTTGTTGTCGGGATTTTTTCTGTCGGTATTTTGGCCTGTCGGGGGTGAATTTTTACCTCCATTTTTGGCGGCAACTCAATCGCCAAATGCCGACTCAGGTTCTGCGGATCGTGCTTTTTCCAAACGCCATCCGCATCTGTTTTCCCGTTGGGGTTACTGTAAGAGATTACTCACTAGTTACAGTAAGCCTTAAAACTACCCATATTTTGCGAAATTTGCAAAGAAATCCGTCATCAGGTCGACCATCTTCAGGTCGTCGTCGTTGGGGCGGAACTTGCTGATGATGCCCTTGCCGAGGATATAACGTAGCTCGGTGCAGTGCGTTGCTCCTAAATTCATCTACTTTTTTGCCCCACAGTACCCACCCAAAAACGGAAAGATCCATTTCAGGATTCCGAAACCGTCCGGGTTGAAATAGTTGAACTGGTAGAGGTAGACGGGAGAACCTTAAAAGAGGTATTTCAGTTTGTTTTAAATTTTTAAATTAATTAGTTATACTGTAAGGAGTTAAAATCTACTTTAAAATGCTAAACCTACATGTTTTTAATTCTTTTAAGGTCATTATTTGCAAAAATCCCATTAAAATCAAATAATCAAATTTTAAAATTTGCAGGGTTTTCATTTCCGTCAAAAATTTAAACCGGTTCTTTGATTTAAAAAACACTTTAAAAAATGTGTTTTTTTTTAATTTAAAAAGTCTCAGATGATTCTCGCTTTTTTCCAGATCTGAAAAAACGTACCGAGCTCCGCCTCTATCCGCGCTAGCTCCCACGTGCCGGCGTTTATCGCCCAGTCACCGAGCACCTCAAAGAAATTTTTTTTCTTACGGTATTTTTACAGTAATTACTGGATTCTATATCTTTTCTATACACTAGAGTTTATGTTAAAAATCTGACCTTTGCCATCCGGAACACCACTTCTTTTCGGTCCTTCGGATCGACGCCTTTCAGATACAGCTCTTTTACCTCGGTCCTAAAGTTTTTTTTTTGCGTTTTATTTCCTGGAATTCTTACCGTAACCGCTCGGCATTCTCGTACTTTTCGTCGGGTAGGCACCGGTCGATGAAGCGCTCCACGCTTTCGTACGATTTCGCGAGGCCGGAGAAACCGACTGAAGAGGGGAGGGATGACTATTCGATTACGACAGGTAATTTTTTTAAAGGTTTGATTATGTTTAAAGAAATATCATCAATTTTAAAGGAGCAACACAGATCTTATATGTATAACTTGGTCCTTAAAAGTGGCGTCCCTTGAGCGTTGTTGCCGCGACGCAATCGCGCGCAGCCTCTCCTCTATTCTCAATTTAAACGTGAAAACGCGCGAATTTACGAATTCTGCCACCATTACTGGAATGCTCATAAAGTTTTGATCCTCCAAGCCGTTTTAATCATCAAAATCGCTCCAGAAATCACCGAGATCAAAGAATTGTACGCCCGAGGGGTCATTACGACATGTAATTCGCAAGAGCTCAAAAGCCTATTCAGCTCCGAATTTTTTCGTTTTTTTTTTCCAAAAATTGCTTCGTGCCTGGCCCCTTTAAAGTACAAACTACATTTGCAGTACATACCAAAGAACAGCCCCTCATGCTGGGTGACCCCCAGCATCCGCGGCTTCCGCGGCGCCTCTTTTCGGAGCTCGGCAAGTGACTTGGGGAAAAAGTCGCCATCGAGGTTAGGGACGAAAAGCAGTTGCCCCGGTCGTCCGAAACCCTAAAAGCTATTTTTACCTAATTTTGGTCATTCCTGCTGTCAAAACCCAGTGCCCACCTTTTTTCCGGACATTCCGAGCTCCAGCAACTCGGCATATTGCCCACGAAGCCACTCGAGCACGTCCTCGCTTGTGTCTTCTTCCAGATAAGCAAATTCTCGCAAAAATAAGGATTTTTTTTGCTTAATTTTTGCCGAAATTTCGAGAATTTTGGACAGAAATCAACGAAAAGCGCATAAAAACCGTTCAAAAAATTCTAGTAGTAGCCTTAATTTATGTAAAGTATATTTTTTTTCGTTTTTATAAAAATTTCGCACCAACCTGCCGGCTTATAGCCAATAAACTTTGCAAAATCCCTCGACAACTTTGCTTGGTCGGCCGCCGTTCGAACCGCAAAATCGCACTCCCCGTTTCCGGCCATAGGGATCACCTTGTGGAATAGATCTGGAAGATTCCGCGACTGTACTTTGTACACCGTACACTACGGAGTGTCTAGAAGTATCCGATTTTCGAGGTTTAGGTATCTATCGAAAGCTCTTGAAAAGGCGAAAAGCCACCGTTTTTGTATTTACAATATGTAGTTTATTCATAGCTTTTTTATCGCCGAAAGCCGTAAAAAACGACAGCCGCATGCTTATTGCTGTTTTTACGTAAAACGCGCATTTTTAGGCTCATAATAGCAAGAAAAAGCAAAGAATTGAAGAAAACAAAGTATCTTCCACTTATATCGTACTGAGCTTGAGCTCCGGCTCCTGACAAACCTCGAGAATACGGCGATAAACTGAGCAAATCGCTGGAGGCCCCGCCGGCACTTTGCCCGAACACCGTCACGTTATTCGGATCACCGCCGAACTTGGCGATGTTGTCGCGGATCCACTGGAGTGCAAGCGTCTGGTCCCAAAGTCCGTTGTTTCCTAAAAATCAGATTTTGTCGTAATCTTTAACTAGTGATTACCCAAGCAATGCTCATCACCAGTCGTGAAGAACCCGAAAATCCCGAGGCGGTAGTTGATCGACACCACGATCAGGTCCTTGGCGCATAGGTTTCTAAGAGGTTGTGTTGAAGGCGCTAACAAGTGCGGCTATGCTTACTGACAAACTTCGTATCCCCCCCCCGATAATGCGACAGCACCCGAAACTCAGAATTTTGAAATTTCAAACTATTTAAATCCAGAACGTCGAAATTTCAGAATGTCGAAATTTCCTAATTTTGAAAGTTCAAGATTTGAAATTCAGGATCTCGAAAATGAGAACGTCGCAATTCCTAATATTTAATATCGTAAAGTCGAAAATCAGAATGTCTAAATTCGGAATGCCGAAAATTCAGAATTTCGATCATAATGCCAAAATCCATGAGGCCGAAATTCGAGAATATCGGAAGTCGGAATGTCTGAATCCACAGCGTCTTCATGTCTAATTTCACAATGTCGAAATTCAGAACGTCAAACTTCAGAATGTCGAAATTTCAGGATGCCGATTTTCACAATGTAAAAAATCTTAATGCCGAAATGTCATACGGTCGATTTGTCATATGAACAAATCGCGCGGAAAATGCCCCACATAATACGCCCAAAATGTCGACACATTGAAATGCCGACATTCTGAATTTCGACATTATTAGATTATTCAACATTTTGTAAAAAGATGTCATAGGTTTGCTCCCCGAATCTTCCAATTTAACTTGACCTACCTCGCCAACGTGCGATCCCCATAGTTTGAACTGGAGTGCATCGTATAACCACCGCCATGAATCCAAACCATCACCGGGTGGCCCTGGGGCTAAATTCAGCAAGTTTCCACGCGTCGAAAATCACTCACAAACTCCTCGCTGGTCCACTGGGGCGCGAAAATGTTCAGTGTCAAGCACTTGGCCTCATCCTTTCCGACAATGTTCAGGAATCCGGTGAAATACTCGTCGGTCTGCGGGCATCTCGGCCCAAAGTGGAAGCAGTCCAGTGTGTCGGCCCATTTTTTGACGGGCACTGGTTTCTAAAATACGGCTATTTCTGCCATAATCCCGGTCGTAGGCCCGACAACCAAAATCCCGACACCCCCCCCTCTAAAACAAAAACCAACAGCAACACACGCACCGATAATAAAACCGACAGCAAAGCAGAAAGCAAAATCCCGACCGCCAAAAATCCCGACCGCCTATGATACCGACAGCCAAAATCCCGACTGCCAATAATACCGACAGCCGAAATCCCGACAGGCGAAATTTCTTGGTCAGGAATCTGTCGGCATTTTGGTAGCCGGGATTATGACCTGGGAATTTTAAACGAGGGCATTTTGGCTCTCAGTTTCTTGCTGTCGGTATTATTGCTCAACTCATAATGTCGAAATGTCATAATATCGAAAATGGGATTATCGAATTGTTCAAAAAGTCCAGACTTCCATACGTCGAAGTTTACCATGCACAAATCCTTCGAAAATCGCACAAATAATATGCAAAATGCCGACATTTTGAAAATTCGATATCCGGTTCGGTATTATGAATTTCGACATTTGAAATGCCGGCATTTTAAATTTCGTCATTCGTCAAATCAGCCTCTTTTGAAAGTATATTCTGGAGCATTAAACATAAGAAATCTCACTTTAATCGTTCTAAAATCACCTGGAAACGCAGCTCGCCAACCGGTGGCTCGGCATACGGAATGCCCAGAAAACCATCCACCAGCCGCCCATCGACATTTGTATAGCGGCGTCCACGGACTCTGCCAGACGTCGTGTCTACTGTCTTGCAAATTTAATGAATTTTAACGAATATTTTTGCGAGTATCACCTTGTCGCTAATTATCGGCGCCGACGAGCCGATGCCCATCTTTTTTCGCTGAAAAATTATGGTTAAGAAAAGGTTCATGAATATCGCGCCGTATTGAGAAATCTTTACACTCCCTTCAAAACGTCGCAAAAATTTAGAATTTTCGGGTTCTTATGCATTATCGAGGGGGGGGGGGGTATCTAAGATCACCCCATTTTTCCTGTATCAAATAATGCCCATTAGCGTAATAAAAAATGTTTTAAAAATGCTTCTAGTAAAGATTAAATATATCAGAAATGGAAAAATTTATACATTTTATAAAGTTCGAAAACGGATATTTTTGCGTGTTTTACTAGATTTTGTAAAGTTTACGTTTAAGAATAGCAAAATCAGTTTAGAAGCACTTTTTCTATTTATGTAAAAAGGACCCCCCCGATAATGATAAAAGCGCCAAAATTTTCAATGTTAAACTTCACGAGAGAGTGGTAACATAATCGATAATTCCAATTTTTTAACAATTTTAGCTGAATTAGTAAATTTCATAACCTCGCAAAAGCTTCCGTGAGCTCGGGCTTTTTTAAACTTTGCCCTAGCCATTGATTCCAACGGCTAAAAACACCAAACATAGTCTGGTGTCGTAGTCTGAGGTTGCGGGGCTGATAATGCTGGCTCGGGGGTAAGCCTTCGATTTGGCCGCCGCCAACCGGTTCCCCCCTTCCTCAATCATGTTTTTCAATCCAACGAAATCCCCTTTATGGAAGTCAGACGGCCAAAAAAGTGCGGATTTAAAATTAAAATTTGGAATTTTACAACAACTATTTAACAATCTAACGACATATTTTAAATTTATGATTTAAAGGGAAACCAACTTTTGCTTTGTTTTAATTTTTTTAATATAATTTCTTAACGTTTTTTACTATTGACAAACGCAAAAACTGTACAACTTTTTTATTACAAAATACAAAATATCGGTTTTTTGCGACAAATCTGGATTTGCAACCGAAATGTCGCATTAAAAGTTTTTAGATTTTTGAAGAAAAATTTGCGCTTTACACTTTTTTACAAAACTACTAAATTAAGCTTTTTAAATTTTTGCAAAATTTCTTTATGACTTTTTAGCAGAAAAAACTACCAAAATCAATCAAAATACGCCTATTTCCTCACTAGACACGCAGGCAGAAAAAGGCAAAAACAAAATTAGTTAGGGTCTCTCGCCAAAAAAGCCGTCCCCTATAACAGGGACGCGTTTAATAAACATTAATTAAGCAAATAAATAAAAAAGCATTTTCAAGGGACAGAGCCCAAAAAAAACGGTTTCATGGTTCCAGCGCTACCATTCTACCCCCCAGAAAGCCCGCGGAAACGCGCACCCACCGGAAGCCCGCAGCACGGAAAGCACGAAAACATTCACTAGCAAATACCCTCGACGACAAGCGCTAGGTTGGAGATTGAAAACGGCACAGCATCAAGTTCTACACCCCCCCCCCCTGAACTTTCAGACCTCACGCGCTGTAATAAAGATAAAATCGGCGCTGCCTCTGAAGAAGCCAGGTGATCGCCGGTGGGGGGGACAGTGAAGCATCGAGCGAGCTGCCCGCCCAAATAAGGGCATTTGGCTTGCCGGAACATTGATTACAGATCCTGTGGGGGGTCGCGTCCTTGACCGTGGCCCCTGGGGCTTATCGCCGTTTCCTAGAGCATGGATCGGGCTGCATAGTACAGTAGGCGGGCCCCGCGGCAGCGTCTCTCTTGAAAAGACTGGCAACGAGTGAGGGAGGCTGGCAATTGCAAGCCTGAAGTTTTTGAAATCTGAGTTTTGTAAAACTTGTAAACTCGTGATTGATATGAAGGGATATCAGACAACCGGAAATTTGTGATGGTCATTATTTTTATTATTTATTTTTTTTTATTACCACCCCTTTTCCAAAACGCCCCTGAAACCACTGAAAAACGCGTAATATAGCTCGATTTTGGACTGTTGTACTTTTGATACTACAATACTTTAACATTTGATAGGCTTTTACGGCTTTCCCCCCGGTTCTTGGGCTTTAATTGCTGCATCATCATTCTTATCGAAAATTCACGAGGCGCGATATAACACTTTTCAAATATCTCTTTATTTCACTAGGAGTGCTTCCAACCATTCTTATCCGCCGCAAGTTCACTTTTGCCGCGAAATATCCTCTTATTCGTTGAACACTCGATTCGAGTAAGTTTTCTACGAAGTCCTTATTTTTAGAAACCCAATGGACAGCCTTGCAAGTGGGCCGCCGACCGAGGACGAACTACGTACGCTGGGCCATGTACAGCGACTGGCCGAACTCGTCGGCCTCACCATGACTGATGCCCAATTGCTCGTCTGCCAACGATTCATCGCCCGCGGAGCCAACCCAATAGTCCTGATCAACATCATCAGGCGCGCACAATCTGCCCAGGGCGCCAATTCGACCCCTTCGCGTTCGTCCTTGAATCAAGGCATCTGAATCCAGCGGAAAAAGACCTCTGAAATGATTGCGTTTTCCGTGTGTATATACTGTGACTGATTTGCTTGACGGTGCCTTCTCATTTTCGTTGTTCTCATGTTTTTACGGGTGTCTTACATAAATATAGATAAATTTAGGCAGCTATGAGCGCCTACGGCCGTCCGGCGCTGTTGCGATTGGTGTCTATATCACGGAGCGTGCAGGAAGTTGTAGGTAATAATTTTTGCGTTAAATTTGGTGCGCTTGAGCTTGTTTTAAAGTTTTCGTTTAGTTCGTCAAAACGCTCACCGGGCGTCTCTTGGCAAGATCGGACGCTCACAGTATCTTCTCAAGTATCCGGTGCGGCTCATCCGGCCCGATGGTTCTACAATCCAAGTTCGTGCCGACGAGCCAAGAGAGGTATCTTTGTACTTTGTGCGTCAATCATTCCTAATAGACAGTTCAACTTGCCATCGATTTGAAGACGTTGACGGATGATGAGAGGCGTCAACGGCTCGCCGCGCGTAAACCGAAAGCGAAGAAAATCAGAAAAGTAATTTGATCTCGATTTTCCATGATTTTTCGTTTGTTTAGGAGGTTATCGACGACAATTTCGATTCAAATGAGTACATGAAGTACTGGGCACAACCTGAACCGGAGACGGCCACAAAACTCGCAGCCGCAGACAAAGCCGCACCGAAGCAGGCATTGGCGGACAAGGCACCGGAGAAAAGGAAGGACAACAAGAAGAAAAATAGGTGATGTCTTTTTTCAATTCGTGATGTGTGTACATAATCGTTTAGACCATTGATAGCGTAGATTGTCGTTCTGTTTGTCCTGCTATTTGTTACGCATAAATTTTTACGATTACACGATGTCAATCCCATCACAGGTTTTTCAACCATCTATTTATTGCCGCTTCTCCTGTCGGCACTGACGAAAAGTTTCTAGATGGCCCCAAAGTACAGCATACTGCTGCCAACTTACAACGAAAAAGAGAACCTTCCGATTTGCCTATATCTGATCGAGAAATATTTGAAGAAACACTCGTATGAGGTGATCATTACAACCAGTTTTCCAATTTTCTCCTAGGTGATCGTTATTGACGACAACAGCCCGGATGGTACGCTGGAAGTTGCCAAGAAATGCCAGGTTCATAAATACGCTATGTTTCAATTTGTATTGCAGAAAGAATTCGGCGCCGACAAAATAATCCTGCGGCCGCGTGAGGGCAAATTAGGCCTGGGCACCGCCTACATCCATGGGTTGAAGCACGCACGTGGCGAGTGGGTATATTCTTTTATTCGCGAAAATTGGTTCACCAGGTTCATTATCATTATGGATGCCGACCTTTCGCATCACCCCAAATTCATCTTGCAGATGATCGAGCTGCAAAAAAGTAAAACTGTGGGTTTATTGGTGTTTTATTTTATCGCTTTTCTAGCTTGACATCGTCACCGGTACTCGCTATGCGCCGGGCGGTGGCGTCTCTGGATGGGATCTACGACGAAAAGTAATGTCTGCGGGTGCCAACTGTCTTGCTCAGGTATGCCAGTTAATTCCTTTTGAAATACGCTTCTTTAGTTCTTCCTCAACCCCGGCGTTTCTGATTTGACCGGCTCATTCCGGCTATACAGGTATTATAATTTGGGTAGATCGATTTCTTTTTTTTCAGGAAAGAAATCCTCGCTACATTGATTGCTCACTGCGTTTCGAAGGGCTACGTTTTCCAGGTATTTGCCGATTTTTATGTGCCTAAGACCTTTTTAGATGGAAATGATGTTCCGTGCCAAGAAGTTGGGCTATCAAATTGGCGAGATCCCAATCACGTTCGTCGACCGCTTCTTTGGTGAATCGAAGCTGGGAGCGCAGGAAATCGTCGGCTACCTTCAAGGGCTTTTCCAACTGTTTTTCACCGTCGCCTAAACTCCATGCCAATCAGCTTTAACTTGCCTTCCCCATTATTGTGATTTTGCTAATATTGGTTGTATTTTTCTGGGTCCCACCTGCCTTTTTCTGTGATTCAGTGTCTAAATTTCGTGCAATAAACCTGGTGACGCATTCAGTTCATCTTCTTTCGTTCCATTCAGCGGGGCTTGCTCCAGTCATTCACTATTTACGCCGCTTGGCTTTCATTAATAATTTTATCCCGAGCTAATGAAAATTTTTGACAGGCCACAAATGCAAACACTAGAAATTGGAAAACTCGCCGAACTCGTTGGAATGCCGGTGTGCATAAAAGTAAAAACTAAAGCGGAACTAACTGGCAATATATACACGATCGATCCAGATGGCGGTCACCTCGTGCTTGTATCGTTCGCTGAAAACGACGGCCCACCCAGGGATTTTCACATCATTCCCTGCCACTCTATTAAAAAATTAACCCGAATTTACGAAGGTCATGTGCTCAGTCGGGCACCTTCGGATTTAGTGAATGAGCAAATGAACGCTGTTTTTGCCTATGTAAACCCTTCCAATTAATTACTTTAATTTAATTTTCATGTTTTTTTGCTCACTTTGTCTCCCCCTCCCGAATGATCTCATTTATCTCAAATACGTGGTTTTCCGCTTGTCATAAAAACAAATAAAAATTTAGGGCCCAAAGCGCGTGATGTTATACGATGACGACTACATACATGAGCCCGAGAAGAAAGAGGAAATGTTTGAAGAGCCGATGAAGGAGCCTGGCCCATCCAAGATATCGATGAAGTTTTTCCAGCAAAATTTGGCGCATAAGAAAAATGTCATCAACCAGGTGAACTGCTTTTTCGTTGTTAGGTTATTATTACATACAGGTGTGTTATGTTGAAACCCGTTTAGCCAGCCGTACCGCGAACCACTGCCCAAGCCGTCCCGGTGTTTAATCTATCCGGCCAAGCGGGCCCGAAGCCTCAACTGAACATCAAAGCCGCCCCAAAGCCTAGTTTTCAACCAACGCTCAAACCGTCCGTGAATCCTGTAAAGGTATTTCTTTTTGAATTCGTTATTCCGCTTTGATGGTTCGATATTTTTTTAGTTCTGCCTTTTCTAGAGCAGCTTTTAGGCTACTCCACTAAACGATGCCGCGCCTCTCAAATTTTTACCCAATGCTGCACTGGAAGATAAGGTATTTGGTATCCAGCTCGTCAAATACACATAATTAGGTGCTACTTTTCAACGAGGTTGTCGTGGAAAATGAATACCAACCGGCCGTCCCGAATGATTACTTCGACATGCGCAAGAAACTAGATGCAATGGCGGCAAAAGAAAAGGTCTGAATAGCTTTGGCGATGAAAAATTTCGTCAGGTTGCGCGGGAAATTGCCGAACGGTTGGCGAGGGAACATGTTGAAGAAGAGAAGAAACGGGCAAAGTATGCAGCTTTTGCCCCACCCACAATCTACCAGGACGAGCCTAAAATTAAGGTAAATTGTTCGTAGCTTTAGCTTCATTCATGATTAGGAGGAAGAGCCGGAACCCACCTCATCAAATGCCCCGACGTTTACTGCACCGGCGATCAAGCCCGGGTTTGGTGGGAAGAGCCGTGGACTGGGCGTCGCGGCGAATATCATGAGCAAAATGGGATACAAACAAGGTAATGAATTTTAGACAGTTTTGAAAGTTCCGCTCTTTAGGTTTCGGTCTCGGCAAGTCAGAGCAGGGCATTAGCAGCGCGTTGACAGTTCAACGAGTGGGACAAAATGCCGGGCAGATTTTGACAGAAACTCAGGCGGCAATCAAAGGTGACTCTTCAGTTTATAAAACTAACGATAAGCTGCTATTTTCAGAAGCTCAAAAAGCGGCACCACGAGGCGTTGGGACGGCGAACGTGGCGGATGCGATGAAGCATTCGAGCCGCGTAGTGCTTTTACGGGTATTTTTTTTGTCATTAAAAGCACTATGTCGTCCAGAATCTCGTGGGGAAAAGTGAGGTGGACGCCGACCTGCAATCGGAGATCGAGGCCGAGATGGGCAAGTACGGCACCGTGTCCAGTTCACATATTCATTTGGTCAGTCGCTTTTTTTGGACTTTGTAGCATAAGGCCGTATGTCAAATACCGCATGGCACCCCGTGTAGCAAAATACCGAATCTAAAAGCCTATTTAATTCAACGAAACTGACTGCTTAACTAAACCTAATTAAAATTTCGATTCATCGGAACTTCTGTGATTTGAGAAACTATTTTTTTTCTAAGATTGGCGTTTGCCTAATTATTCCGCAAGAAAAGAAAATACAAAAATTTAACGCGGTGGTTTGAATTCGGTGTTTTGACGTCGGTGTCATGAAATTTGGAATTTTCATCTTCGGAGTAAAAAAGTCCACATTTCTTGCAAGTTCATTTTTCAGATGCCTGAGGGTACCCCAGAGGACGAGGAGGTGCGGATATTTGTCGAGTATTCGAACGTCCCTCAAGCAATCAAGGTGAGTTTCTATAGACTTTGCGTGTACCGTCCATTTTAGGCATTTATCGTCCAGAATAACCGATTTTTCGCCGGGCGCAACATTCGGGCGACATTCTACTCCCCCGACGACTATAACGACCGGATCTACGACGTGGAGACGATCACCTGATTTTTTTGCTGTTCATATTATTGTTATTTTACGATGTCGGTGTTGCCTGTACTATTAATTAATTTTTATTTCGATAATGATGCTTTTCTCCCTTTGACAAATGCACGTTATGGTATTTTGACGGCTAACAGGACACGCCGGTTTCAACCGGTAAGAAATCTTTAATATCGAGCGCGGACTAGATTTTGGTTTGGAAAATTCGGAGCATTTGTTTTCTCGCCATTTCAAGAGCACTGGCGAATTGTGTAAAAAGCATCCCGACCCGAGCTTTTTCCGGGCCGCTTTCGGAGGGTCGATTTTTAGTGACGCCGTGTATTGGCAACTCGCTAAAATCGTTGGCTGTAGCGATATTTTGTTAGCCCCGGATTGGCAGTATTGGTGGCGTGCGCCTGCGGGCCGAGGGTTGAGATCTGGTATTTGAAGGGCGAGAGGTGAATGGGACGAGTTGTGTGTGTATGCGGTGGATTCCAGTCGGATTGACCCTCGTTCACCGACACGGCTGGTCCAGCAGCACTGCTCGTCCCGATTTTACAGTCGACGGATTCGGGCCGGGAGACGCGCTCGCTCGGCGTGAGACCCTCCGCGGTAACAGAGATGCATGCACTCAGCTCAGCGAGCCTCAATTTGCAGTACGCAGCACAACACCCAATAAGGAGGGGGGATCGTCTCGTCTTGGGGGAGACCGTATACCGCACCGGGGTCATTTGTCGCGGAGCATGACCGTTGCTTGGGTGGGGTCTCTGGGCTGGAGAAGTGAAAATATCGAAACGAGCAATATCTATAAAATTTTAGGCGAGGAAAATTGTTTTCGTTTGAAAAAAAGACGAAAAATTAGTTAAAAATAGCGAATCCTAAATCCAGAAAGGTACTAGCAACCCGATCTAAGGCCTGAAATAGCCAATTTGCAAGGTTTCGTGAGTAAAAAAAGCCGTGTCCTTGCTAAAATAGCGGAAAATCGAACGGAAACTTAGCAAAAAATCGAAAATTTCCTTCTAGCTACAATAAACTAACGGAGGCTATTATGAGCACGAGAATCGACGCCCTAGCACGGCTAGGCCTGGACAACTACAACATGGGCAAACAAGCGCAACTTAGACACCGGACACAAATTTGAACGCTCCCGCGATCCGCAAAGCACGCCGGAGCAGAGCGAACACGCGCGTTGCGTGTCGCTGCCTTAACAGAATCCATAGGAAATCCGACGAAAAACCTTCCCATCTTCCCCGTCCCTTTATTTTTGGGGTTTTCCGTTTGGCCTTTCGTGCCCTCCACTTTCGCCTCGGGACCCAGCTTGCCAGGGATTGGGGTCAGTTGGGTGGGTTTCCCCTCCTCTCGGCTCGTCGACAAATCGGGCCAATCCCCCTGGTGATCCGCCCAGGGCGCTGAACAGGGCGTACAGAAGGCTCCAATCGTGGCTCTCGAGCGTTGGGGGTATTCCATTTCGTTCCTAACGTATTTTGCAGTGTCCAATGGAGCCGGACGTAGTTTGGGACTTCAGCTGCGCACGTACAAAATTTTGGCAGTTATGCAAACGTTATTAGTGTTGTCCTCATATCCCCAATTTCGTGATTTTGACTTGTTGGGGCTTTTAAAGGGACTAGGAACTTTAAGGATGTGATTTTCTCTATTAGGGTCGAAAAGATCTGTCACTATCCCTTTAGGAGATTTTTTTTAGTTCGCCAGCCCAGCTTTAGAGCTCTCTCTCTCTCTCTCTCTCTCTTACATCTCTCTCTCTCTCTCTCTCTCTCTCTCTCTCTTCGTCTTTCGCTCTCTCTCGCTGTCTCTCGCTGTCTCTCTCTCACTCTCGGTCTGTCTCACTGTCTCTCTCTATCTCTTGCTTTCTCTCTCTCACAAGGTCGCTCTCTCCATGTCTCTCTACCTCTAACTCTCTCGCTGGCTCTCCCTGTTTCTCACTCTCTCGCTCTCCTTATCCATGTAGACATTTCTTAAGGGAACCTACAAGGCACTACCCTTTGGATTTTGTCTACGGTAACCCACGGAACCGCCAGCGTTTTCTTACTCGTCCCTTTAAAGTTAGTTACCTCACCTCTGTTTGGCCCAATTTTCCGGGCCACTACTCCCGCCGTTCACTAACCTCATCTCGACCCGACAGTCCCCAACTTTTCTATAGGATCAGCCGGGGGTAAATCCGATGCTCCCGGTCCTCGCTCCCCATCTAATAATGAATGATCGCCCTTGGGGCCTGCCCCCTAATTACCGTTACCAATGTTTGTATACTGGGGTGGGGGGTGTCCACTGTATCGCCGTGTCCTTGGGGCACACGCACGGCCTAATACCGTAATCCCCCTGGCGCTCCAGCCTGAGGGGGAGGATAATCGAGAGGTTGACCTTCATTTCCTGGCCAACCCGGGCCGGCTGGACAACAGTTATGACAGCCGAAAGACTCGGGGAGCAAGAGGTTCGCAACATGACCCTCCCCCCATCCAGGTACCCGGGGAGGGGCGGGGTCACCCTTTAGGCTTCAATTTTCAGCAGGTTGACCTCGTTTTTTTTGGGTGGCCCTGGTGGGGGGTTGTGGATGATCAGTTTTTGAATTTGCTGTTTCTGAACTCCTTGAACTTGGCTGAAAGCTAGCCGGCCAGGATTTGCTAATGAGCGCCCCGGGAATCTCGTAAAATGTGTAATTTTTGCAGTTTTTTTGTGCATTAATCCAGTATCTCTGTGGTTCTCTGGCTAACTGTTCTCTTTGGTTCTCCCTTAACTTACCGCCTCGCTCTTCAGGTCGTTCTCTCTCTCTCTGGCTCTCTCTTTCTCTCTCTCTATCGCTGGCTCTCTGTCTCTCGCACTCATCCTCGCGCTGGCGTTCTGGCGTTCTCTCTCTATATCGCTGGCTCTCTATCTCTCTCGTTCTCTCTCACTCACGGCTCTTTATTTCTCTCTCTCTCTCTCTCTCTCTCTCTCTCTCTCTCTTTCGCTCTCTTTCTCTCTCCCTCTGTCTCTCTCTGGTATCTTCTGTCTCTCTCTCGCTCTCTCAATGTCTCTCTCGCTCTGTCTCTCTCTCTCTCTCTCTCGCTTGAATTGAAGCTATCGCGCTTGAGTCTTAGGTTTTTCTTCATCTTCCACAATTTTCTCTGCCATCAACGCACATTAATGGAAACCACCTCCTCAAGCACCTCTACTTATTTCCGGTCCATTACTAGCCCATCTCACATCAAAAACAGAAGAACTGCTAGCACAGAAAATTGCGGAAATCGTGAGTCAGCTCAATTTGACGACCAGATCCAAAATATCCAGCTTTACCGGTCAGTCACCCGATATAGGCCAGGAGAGCCAGCCCTGGCTATTATCGGTCGGGAAAAGGTTGATCATGCAGTTGGAGGTGACCCAGTTATGACCGGAATTCGGGTGGCATGGCTTCGGCAGGGCCTCGGAAATGGTTTTTGCTAGTTTACCCAGCGATCCTGGCTTCATATTTCCTTTGGCAGCTTTAGCTTCGTGTGTCGGAATTTTTCCACAATGATTTCCGCTAGTTTGCCTAGCTGTTTTGGCTCGTGCTTAGGGTTAGGCTTAGCTTTATGCGTTAGCTCAGGCTTAGGCTTAGCTTTAGGATTATGATTAGGTGAAACCTGGGTTAAGCTTAGGCTCAGGCTTAGACTTACGCATAGGCTTATGTTTATGCTTAGGCTTAGGCTTCGGATCTGGTTTAACTTTTGGCTTAGGATTAGGTGAAATTCGGGCTTCGGTCTGGGCATTAAGCTTAGCCTCTTGCTCAACCACTAGCTTCCTTCTTTCTCTGACTTCCCAGCCCCTTTAAACGTTTGGATCACGAGCTCTTGCTCAGGCTCGCTAGCTCGTCGGGCTATTGTGGACACAAACTCGTACTTGCCAACTCAACCGTGTCCATCCATAGCCGCTGCTGCTCACTTGACTGTCCAGAAGCAGTGGAATGGCTATGGTTGTCCGCCTCCTTCTCCTCCTTCTCCTGCTCTTGCTCCTCCATGTCCGGTGGGCGGCTTTCAATAGGTTGAGCACGAGAGGGAGAGGGCGGGAGGAAAAGATGGAAAGTGGGCGAATCGCGTCACGGTCTGATTGGCTGATGGCCACTGCACATCGGGCTATTGAAAGGGGCGCCGAAGGGGGCAACAAGCAGCACCCCTGGGGTGCTTTCTATACCTATCCTGATATGATATTGCGCTTCCTTGGACATGGGCGACTCTTTGATAACTTTGGATACCTTTAAAGGCACCCGAAAGGCGTGTGAAACGTAATAACGTTGTCATTCCGTAGTGGGCCGTACGTTTTGCTCGAATACTTCCGGTTTACTCCCAGGGCGATAAAAATGCCATAGAATATGCGATTATTTCTGTTCGGTTAGGCCTAAGATTAGGATTAGGCTGAGGCTTAAGCTTTTGCTTAACTTAGGCTTAGGCTTAGGCTTAAGCTTAGGTTCAGGCTTGGCTATGCTGAGGCTTAAGCTTCGGCGTATTCTTAGACTTAAACAGGCCTAATCTTGGCTTAGGGTCAGGCTTAGGGTTGACTTAGCTTTGCTTCGCTGGGCTTAGCTTGTACTCTGGCAGGGCGGGTAAGCTAAAAATCCCCACACCTTTTTTTTGAATCCTTCCGGTCCACCCTGTTTCCGAAATTTTTGCTGTTGCCTCCAGCCTGGTCCATCCCCCCAGGCGGACACCCCGAATTACCCGGCAGTGGTCGCGAATCGAGTCGGCCCGAAATGGGCGCGGCCCGAGTCGACAGAATGACCGGGATCTCGCATTTCGTGTGGGGTTGGGTAGTGGCGGGACCCGGAAAAGGGCCCAGGGTGCTCATTATCTGGTCAGGTAGAAAAAGAGAGAGAGAGAGGTAGAGCGAGAGAGAGCGAGGGAGCGAGAGAGAGAGAGAGAGAGACGGACAGTGTATTTGTAGTGGATGGAACGCGATCCATCCCCCAGGGGTCGATGTGGGTTAATGTAGACATGTTTTGTTGAAGGGTCGGTAATGACCGGGAGGGGAAGTCCACTACCCACCTATCGACACTACTG